TCGAAGAACTTTGGTCGATGACCCGATACAAATTTAACATTATTCGATGCAGAATTTCATTCTGAATTCAACACAACCATTGCCAGAACCAACACAGCTAAAGCAGCGAATCCGAGCTGGAATTACTTCTACAAGATTTTCAGAAAAAGCAGTATTTCCAGGTAAAGTGCCAGATTTTGATCGGTAACCCCCTTCTAAAATTACACCATTCGATTCAGCACAAAATTCTGCATCCAACACAACCATATAGGGGGATCCGGGCTGGAAAAACTCGAATCTTGTGCTAACTTCCCTCACGTTGAAAAAATAGCATAATAAAATGTTTTTTGAAATTTGAAATCGTATTTTTGAACTAACATGTTCAATTGTCTATGATTATCTTCTGTGGTGATGATGATGCTGGCAAAACAGACAGACTTGGTTTGACGTATATCGCATTCCGAAATACTACTAAGATTGTTTTAGTTTTCTTCAGTGTTCTTAAAATGTTTGACACGCACACAAAATGCATGTATAGTTACTTGTTGTTGTGTTGTGCTTAATCTCTTCGTTCTTTAAGACAACCCACTATAAGAAAATAGTACAAAATGCATCTATCTAAGGCAAATGAGCAACCTTTTCTCGATTCAAAATAACCAAAATCTTCTCATTACAATTCAGCATATTTAATCAGGTTTGTGTCTATATGAATTCTGTCGCTTCAATCAAAGTAACAGTGATGAACTATATTATTTTATTTCGTTCTTATCAGAGTAAACTATTTATTACAGATGTAAATCTCATAAAATAAGATCCTTTCAAGTGTCTAAAAAAGAGAGCAAGTGAATACTATCGTCAGGTCGTAATATAATGCACATTTGATTACAGAAAGATTAGTGATGAATAGTAATGCATTCGACTATTGCGAAATGATATATCTTATTATAGCGTACGATGAAAAGAAGGAGAATATTCGCATTCTAAATAAACGATAGAGATAATTTCCTTTGTTTTTATCATTACCCTTACTAATATATTTGTTCATGTAATTTTTTCTGCTTTGTCACAATTTACAACGAGAAGAAAATGAAGGTATGATGCTTTTTACGTTTTACGATTTATCATCAAGAGAGACATAAAGTACAGAAAAGCAAATGTGTGATAATACCACCCAGACAATCGCAGGGTATAAATATTTGCAACTCTGCTGATCTCTCATTCGAATAGATTTAGAAAGTGGCCATTGTAATTTGTTATTAATGAAGAGAATAAATAAACCATTCCTTGTTGTGACATAAAAAAAAGAAGCGATTCAACTCTATGTCTTGATATATTTCTTTTAGTTGTACAATTCTCTGTGATCTATTCGACAAAATGTTTCGTTTCATTGCAAGTTTTATCCTTGTTCGACTTGCAATCATTGTTTATATGAATGCGTCTTTGTTTGCATCGGCGGAACGAATCGATTGTTTTCCAGAACGTGAGTCCACATATTCAAGTTATTCAAAAGAAGCTTGTCTAGCACGTAACTGTCTATTTGATGATAATGCATCTACCGATGTTATTCAATGTTTTTTACATCCCAATTATGGATACATTCTACAACCAGATATTCAACAAACAGAGAAGGGCATGCGTCTACGATTACGACGAAACCAAGCTATTGTCAGTATGTTTCCTGAGCCTATAAATAATGCTCTTCTTGAAATACAATATTATACGAATGACATAATCAGATTCAAATTGTACGATGAAGATAATCAACGCTATGAAGTATAGTTTTCTTCAGTTATATTTTATAAATTGGATTTTTTCAGGTACCAATTCCATTGGCTTCTCGATTTGATCAAGTATCATCACCTCAATACGAATTTATTTATTCGTCGAATTCTTCACGTGATAATATTTCATCATTTGCAGTGCAACGTCGAGCTGATCGAGCAATATTATTCGATACATCTCCTGGTGGTCTTGTATTGAATAATCAATTTCTTCAAATAGTCACACGACTTCAATCGTCTCATGTTTATGGATTTGGTGAGAATAATCATGATACTTTGAAACACAATGTCAGCGAACACAAAACATGGGGTATCTTTGCTCGTGATCAAGGTTAGTTATACAAAACAAAAAGGCAAATAATCATAGATGATATAAAATACATTGATTCTTTAGGTACCAATTGGAATACAAATGCAAACAATTATGGTTCACATCCATTCTATATTGTTATGGAACAGTTGCCAAATTCTGATTCACTACCATCAGGTAACATGCATGGCGTCTTGTTGCTCAATTCAAATGCCATGGATTATTCGTTTTCATCATTACCATCGTTAACCATGCGTACTATCGGTGGTATTCTCGATTTTTTTGTATTCCTTGGTCCCAAACCAGAACAAGTCATTCAACAATATACGTGGTTGGTTGGCCGATCAATTCTGCCACCTTATTGGTCACTGGGTTTTCAGCTTGCTCGTTGGGACTATTCAAATCTAACACACATGCAGATGGTTGTTAAACGAAATCGTGATGCTGGAATACCACTCGATATTCAATATGCTGATATTGATTATATGGATGCAAGAAAGATTTTTACGGTCGATCCGAATCATTATAATGGACTGAAAGAATATTTTGCTCAATTGAATGCTGACGGTGTTCGAACAATTGTTATACTTGATCCCGGTATGATTGATGATAAACTATATTATCAACCAACAATACAAGGCATTGAAGAACATGTTTTCATAAAATGGGATGATAAAAGTACATTGGTAAAAGGATCTTGTTGGCCAGGTGATGTGTTCTTTCCAGGTTTGTCTTTCAAATGAAATTTGACTCGTTAAGTTAGCTTTATCAAATTTTGTCTACATAGATTTTTTTCTCAGTCAAACTTATGATTGGTGGTCACGTTGGATCAATGATTTTCGTCGAGTTAATGTTTCGTTTGATGGACTTTGGATCGATATGAATGAACCCGGTATGTATACGTATGCTTCTTACGATAAAGAATTATTAAATTATCAAGCATGACTCGTTCTTTAAATAGTTTATAAATATTTAATCGGGTAGTCTGATTTAGTATCTCTGATTGTTTTTTGTTGATCATCATTTTTTTTAACAGCTCTCTTTGATACTAACAATGACGCACCTTGGAATTGGTGGTTAACTGGTAGTAATCATACATTGAAATGTCCGCCAAATCAATGGGAAGATCCACCTTATCGAACTAAAGCTGTATTTCGCTATGATGGCAATGACAACCGAGCTGCTCGTATTTCCGATCGAACAATGTGTATGTCAGTTCGACAAGGTGAGATTGATCTAGAAACGGGTCAACCTAAGTATCGTCATTATGATGTACACAGGTATGAAGGTGTTTCTTTTACACACATTGAAGATATCAAACTTGAGTGAATTCTAGTTTGTACGGTTGGAGTCAAACAAAACCAACGCTAGATATTATGCGATCGATCACGGGTAAACGAAGTTTAGTTTTGCCTCGTTCGACTTTCGTTGGTTCGGGTCAATGGAGTGGCCATTGGCTAGGAGATAATGATGCAGAATGGCATGAAATGAAACGATCATTAGTTGGTATGGTTGAATTTAATTGGTTTGGTATTCCTTTCAATGGTGCTGACATATGCGGATTTGGGGGAACACCAACTGAAGAAATGTGTATTCGGTAATAGGCCTGTGTGATTTTCCGAATAAGAATAATCACTCCGTTTCTTTTAGTTGGATGCAAGTTGGTGCTTTCTATCCATTTTCTCGAAATGTAAATATATCACTGATTCATATTCAAAGACGAGAGACTATCTACTTCTCTTTTAGCATAATGTTCAAGGTACACCAGATCAAGATCCAGCATCGTGGTCTACATCAGCCGTAGCAATCATGGCTTCTGCACTTCGTATTCGTTACACGCTACTTCCGTATTATTATACACTTTTCTATAGAGCACATACGCAAGGTTCAACAGTCATTCGACCGTTATTTCATGAATTTCCAACAGATAAAGTCACCTTAGATATTTTTCTTCAATTTCTTATCGGATCACATCTTATGATAGCACCTGTCACTGATAATGGTATCCGGCAAGTTCAAGTTTATATTCCATCGTCACCATGGTACAATTATTATACGGGCTCTAAAATTCTTTCTCCAAAACAATGGATAACCATGGCGGCACCTTTAGATACAATCCCTATTCTATTGAGAGGTGGAACTATTTTACCAATACAAGGTTATGCCAACAATACAAAATTCTCAAGGTAAATGAGCGAATATTTGTTCATATGATAAGTTTTTTTCCTGCATACTTTAGAGAACAACCTTTTGGTCTAATGATTATCATGGATTCAGATGGAAATGCTGACGGTGAGCTATTTTACGACGATGGTGAATCAATCGATACAATCTCCTCGAAAAATTATTTTCATGCGACATTCCAATGGTCATCAAAAAATGGTCAATTGACAATGAATATTGTTCAAAACAGTTATGCACACATGTCAAATTTAATTCTGCATTCGTTAGCTTTCTATGGACTCGATTCAGTACCAGCTATACTTCACGTGAACGGAAAACAATTCCACCCAACTCGACGGCCAAATACAAATATAGCCGAAGTTACTGGTTTACAATTGTCAATGAGTGAAAATCATATTTTTACTAGCAAAAGTATAACTTTTGCTATCCATTATTATTTACTTCTCGGATGTTTTATTATTTGGGTTCTACAAGGTCACCTGTTTATCCATTAATTTTATTTCAGACATTATCGTACTCATAATTTGAGTCGACCATAAACTATTTTCTTATTCTTATTTTTCCTTGCTTACTAATGCAACTTTTCATGATGGTCTACTATTAATTGACGAACAAAAAGATTAGCGCAATCCCTGTGGGATTAAAACGTGATGAAAATGCCTTTCGAGAAACTGTTGACAATGGTTGGTGAGAGGAAAGGGGTGCCCATTTCGATCGCGTTTCACTTTTATGCATACAACTAGAAGCTAGCTTAGTCATTGGAAGAATATTTTGTATTACAGATATTGAAAATTTAATCAGTCAATGGCTCGTGTGTTTGAACAAGTGTCACTAGCGATCGCTTCGGTACAGGAATATTTTGTAATGTAATTACCCATCGTTTACATTGATACTCATCGATGTAAGAATCAGCGTCAATATCGATAACACGAAATAGGGTAAACGGAAGTACCAGTACTTCTTCTTCGTCAGGCACGACTGTTGCTACTTTAACATTGTCATGTCGTCGAAAAGTCAAATCGAGTGCTGTTTCACATGGTCGCTTAGTAAAATCAAATATGATGGTTGCCGAGTGACTATCACATGATTGACCACCGATTGTAAAAGTTTCGGCAACTCTTCTATTTTTTGACGTCGACGAAAAAAGACGTGTTTCAACCAGATTACCTTTTAGCATAGCTGCGCGATAGTTGATCATATCACGTGATGTCACAAGTGCAGCACGGTAAGAGCGACCTTGATACGATCGATTAGGTTTCATTGTTTTCAAATTCATATAAATCAAAGTAGCATAACTTACAAAATTATCACGAATTATCGTACTCATTACTGGCGAAGGTAATGTATATATGCACAATAGAGAGATGATACAATGTTTGTTAACAAATTTCTCAAATAACTCTTCTAACTTTTGAGTATTATTATTGGTTAATTTTATTTCATTGATAATTTGTTGAAAATCTTGAGTACATTCTTGTGCAATTGCTGCTCGTATAATTGGACGAAGAAGCCAAGATGCATCTGCAATTTGTTCGAGACGACGTGCTATATCAGCTCCATACTCCGATAAACGTTGACGAACACATTCGTTGTTTGGTCTCTCTTCAAAATTCCCAGAAAAATTCTCGTTTTCAATAAGAAACTTTGTCATATCCTCTTCAATAAACCTTTCAATAGGTTCATAATTTTGAACAAGAAATTTAGCAGTCTCACTATGGTGGTTATTCAGTGCCAATTGAAGACATGTTTGTCTTTTTACAGAACGATCCAACGATCATACGTTTGTTGCCAATGATTGTTCCACGAGTTCTTTCACTCTAGTCAATGATCCTTCACTACAAGCCTCAAAAAGTTCATTATAGAATTTCTCCTGATCGATGGTTATATCATTGTCATTGTTAGGCGGAGAATTATTACGAGAATTCCTACTTCCCATCAACTTTTGAAACGTACACAAAGAAGGAGATGACGACAAATGTCAACAAAATAATACAAATATTTTATTCTTAAAGCTTTTAAATGTAGTTGGAGAAGGTACGCGGTCGGAAGATTGACACCAATAAATACATCAACAGACGAAAAAAAGAACATTTTAAATTGGAAATCGTAGTTGTATCGAAATATTAATCGGGAAAATGTCTCTAGCACGCAATGAATCTCGAGTAGAAAACATGTTCCATCTGGTAGAAATATACACTCCAGGTTGGCTTATGATAGGCTTACTTCTGACTTTAACACCATTGGCAATTGTCAAGCTCTGTTTTGCTTTTATTTACATTCCAAGTTGTTCTTCTAAACCAGCCATCTATGTTTGGCTTATTATCTCGGGTTTCCGAACATTGATTCTTCTTGCCATTTGGTTGTATGTCGTAAGTACGATTAATAAGAATCATCAGTAATTTCACTATCTTGAGGATTTATGACTGAGAGTGTTTTTTTTAGTCGCACTCATGCCTATACTCTCGTTCTACTTCATCAGCATATAAATTATTCCTATTTTATATGTGAACAGTTTATTCGGAACTATGGCACTTGCTGTAATCAATCATTGTCATCATCGATGTATGGAGTTTCTCTGCTTTGTACAACAACACTGCCATTAGCAGTGATACATTATTCCATAATACTAACGGTACGCATTATATAATAGGGTGTACCTTCGTATCGTTTGAAAATTAGGCAACACAGTCTCAGTAAGAAAAAATACAAAAGAATGTTTTACATAGGAATTCAACTTGTTATTTGATAATGGCGGAATTACCTTCTGAGATTTAATTTCTAGATTTTTACGAATTCTATCAGTTTTACTAAGATTCGTAGGCCTTGTTTTGGTTTCCATCGGACAGTGACAAATAAACAACATAGGATTTACGTGATAAATCATGAATGGGAACAAATTTTTCTTTTTCTTTTATAAAATGCTTATCGTGGGATTATTTGTGTGTTAGGTTGTGGGATGGATAGAGTACGCATCGGTTGATATACAAAGAAATGATCCTTCACAATCATCAACGTATTGCCATCCAAATCTCTATTACTTTTCTCGTGTGCTGGCATGTTTTTATCTCGCTATATATATTATACTCAGCGTATTGGTTACTCTAAAACTATATTTTTCCGGTACTTCACGTGAAAATGTAATACCTTCACAATTCGACATCCGTTCAGGTGGACTCAGTCCAAGTGAACCTTGTTGTAACTCTACTTCAATGTGTCTAACTTGCTTTCTTATTGTTCGAGCATTTTTTATTTAGCTGAAAATAATGAAAAATAAATCTTTTTTTCAAATTTTCAATAAAAGCATAGAATCATGATGAAGGATAAAGAGGGCTAATGGGGGTCATACACCTCGTATTCACTGATTAATGCTGGTTAATCTTGTGCAATTTAATTCTTGCTATTTTCTTTCTTATCAGTAACATTATTCGGAAATTATAAAGTTCCCATTCGATCGTCAATGATGGCAACTCAAGTATTCAAAGAAATTTTCAATAAGTAGCGAAACATTCGACTGAATATTAATGAAAAACGATAATTACAAGTAAAAAAGAACATTTAACGGATTCGAACGCTTAATAAGTTCGTACTGTTGTGAAATTCATCTTGATTTTTCTATTGAAACCTATGTGGCAGTCAATATTACCGTTTAGGTTAAATGAACATCGACTGACTCACTTGCAAATGAATGCACGAATGAATTCTTCATCAAAATCGATAAACATGATTCGATATTATTTTTATGAGCCAGAAAATCAACATTTTAATTTCTGAGCATTAAATTTGAACGATATGTCTATCCATCGTCATCGCTACGATCGAAGCTAACTTTTTCATTATTAAAAGATTGATTTTTCTCAAAGTACTCTAATTTTAGGACACGACATTTGTTTTACTGCAAAAAGAACACAATTAAATAAAACTTTAAAATGCAATTCATTTAGACTAAGAACGCAATCTCAGTCGGATGAAAATGTAAAACACGATATAGCTACGTTTATTAATCACAGAGTAACTGCTTCGATCGATCTATTTTATGATATATCTCTCAAATGATCCTTTGATGATATGCTATAAAATCATATAAGAAATGATCATGACTTAGTAAATAATTAAAATTTCTGCTAGAGCCTATATACTTCAATATTCCTTTTAGATTAAATACCACAGAGCTTTTCGAGACATAAATATGTAGAATCGAGGAAATAAATTAAATAAGAATATACGTCGCTTTATTAATGTTCAAAGGCAATTACATACAAGCATATCAAAAGCTAAACTGTTCTTGTCATTGTTGTTATTACTTATCATTTACGTCCATCAGTGTACCGACTTTGAATACGTGTTTTAACAACTTCGAGCATCCTTTGACTATAGACTTGTTTTTGTTGATCTGATAATTGATTCCATTCGTTGGCCTGTAATGTTCGACCAACAGCTTCTCTTTCGGCCATTTTCAAATCAAGTTTATGCACGCGTATATCATGTTTTGTTTGTTCATCGAGTGCAACACTATTTTTCCCTTCACCATGTGCGACTGATAAGTAATAGAAAAACAAAACAAATATGAATTAAATATTTAAAAAGAAAGACAAATAACACATGCAAACCTCGATTGACTGTTTGTGCTATTTTACGAAGTAGATCGTGAACGGGACTCTTTCCTTGTTGTTGTTGTAATACTGGTTTAACTGGAGTTATAGGCTATAGCAAATAAAAATCATCAAGTAAATTTATTAATATTTAAAATCTATTATTGAATTACTCGCGATCGAGGATTAACATATCGTTCAATGGGCGTTGGAGCTCGAATTGACTGTCGTGTTACCATCGGGCCAGCACTATATTTCATCTGATCGATTTCATATTGTAGTTGTTCGATTTTCGCTTGTAATGATCGCTCATTGTCTTGTCGTTTATTCATTTCCTATTTAAAAATTATCTTAAACGAATTTTCCTCTATATCGAAACATTACTTCTCGTAGTCGTCTTTCAAGTTGAGCATTTCTATAATAAAATAAATAAATAAGACAAGGAGTAAAAAAAGAAGCAAATATTTTACTGTTCATTTCTTTCTCGATCGGTAAGTCGCTGTTCAGGTCGATTAGCAGCTAGTGGCACATGATCTTTATTATAACTTGTCCATTGGCGTCCTAACAATAATCGATAAATAGAAAAGCTTAAAGAAAATATTTTTTTCCAAACCCTCAGTTGGATCAATAACAGGTCCAAAATCGGATCTAGCGATTCGATTTTTAAATTCTGAAAGAAAAAATCGAACAATCACAGATTGTAATTGACGTGTTATAATTATATTTGTTTTATGTTGTAGAATTGATTCCATTTCTGATGTCTAGAAAAGAAGGAGAGAAGAAAAACAAAATTTCGATATTTTTCTCTTCAAAACAAATCATACGAACCAATTTACATTTCAATAAGAAATCTCTTAATGTTATAATCATTGCTGCAGCAATAGCTGGAATTAACTCATCATGAAATTTCGGTATATCACTTGTAATTAAATATTGATCCCACACAAACATTAGAGGGTCAGCTGTAAGACAACCTAAACACATAGATGAACAATTTAATGAAAGTCTAATTGTTATTTATTTTCTAAATATTTACCAACGAACATATATTTAAACCATGGATAACAACATTTTTTTAGAAAAACCAATACATACGGATCATCATTTGTTGACATATGTGAATCTGAATAAATAAATATTCTAAACCGAATAAAAAATAATCTTAAAATTCAAACCCGGTGGATAAAGTACTGTTCGCATATGATTATAAACAGGCCGATCGATTTCTTTTAAATGAAATTCAACTTTATGAAACCATGGTTCAAGTTCATGTGTTGAACTCTATTCGAAATAAAAATGTTTAGAGTTATAATTCTTAAACATCAATAGAAATATTTTACATTTAAGTAAACATCGCGTAATATTGGTGGCATTGTATCCAAAAACGTTCGATACATTTCAGTTAAAAGCGAAAGGGATTTTTCATATGGCTTCTCCGATCTAATAATTAAAAACAAATACGCACTCGAAATATAAATATAAATTTAATTCAATAAAAACATTCAAACAATATGCAAATATAAAACAAAGTGTTTGTGCGATGCAAAATAAATCCTACTTTTTATTGAGATGAAACTCAATCATACTAAACAGATATGTTTTCTGTTTATTTTCTATTTTTGTATTTAAATTAAATCAAAATATCTTATCAATCGCTTTTCTCTACCTGGACAACGGTGGATTGTGAGATAGTACGATGGGTATAACATAATAATATTCCGAATCAGCTAAATCTCGTTTATTTGAAAACATTGAATGATAATACGATAGAATCGCTTTCATTGCACTCATATTCCCTAGGGAAAAAAAATTGTTTTCGATTCAAATGAGAGAAAAATTATTTACCTTTCGAATCCATCATATCAGGTGCTACTGGTAATGTTCGCACAAGACTATCACAGTTACGTTGAATTTCTGCATCCATTGGTGATAATACACTTCGAGGATTATTTCCCAAATCGTTAATAAATTTCTGTCGGTCTAAAATGATGCACTGCTATCACTATTTTTAATTCTCAATTTATTTTTATAATAACATACAGTTAATATTTGATAAATAAAGATTCCAACCAACAAATCGGACCGGTTGTGGTAATGATTGATTAAGAAATGCATGTAATTTATATTTTTGATCAGGCCATTTGCGTAAAAGAGCAATAATACCTTCGCATACTTTATTTAAAATAATATCAGTTTTCGTTTCCAATGGATCATCGGTCATCAATGATCGGGATACATCATTATTAACGCCTTTATCAAGTAAATCGGAAACTCGCTTATTTAAATTGTCATATGGAGTGGCTAAATAAAATATGAAGTAATTTATTATCAAAACCAAAAAAGCACACGCCTGCAGAATACTAACGTCCTCCGTTTGTAGTTCCTTTCAAGCTTTTTGCAGCTCGTTCGAGTACAAGACTTTTCTCGGCATCAGACAAATCTGTAAAGTACTGTACATGACTTTGTGCCAAATGTTGATCAACAGCATCATAAATATTAGTTGTTAAATTATTCCACTCCTTTAAATGAATTTTTTTAAGTCAAATTTTATTATTAACGAAAATAGAAACCTGTGTTTTTAAAGCATTTTCACGACTTTCAACAAGCCACGACGGAAGATTAGCCATCTTTTCTGCTTAATTTTTTTTCAAGTTTCAGAGTCACGTCATTGCCTTCAACTCATACCTGATGTTGCCTAGTTATTTATGTCATCATGAAAAAGACTTTTGCTTAGAGACATCTATTGACAGAGTGTTGAATATATCAAAAAAAAAACGTGCTATATAATTATAATGATGCAAGAGAGAATAATCAAATATTTGTTTAAAAACAATTGAAATTAAAAATTTTAACATCAGAAACATTGACTGCTGGCAAGATATATTATTAGCTAAGTCACCTGTTGCGTGTGAAATAAATGTTTTGAAGTTGTCATTTAGTAACACTCACTTTTTTCTATAGATCAGTGCTAGTCAGATTCAGGTGCAGAAAGGACCCACATCTATGTTATCATAAGATGTTTCTTTTACATTATAAATTTTATTCGTTTATATACAAAATACACAACAGAACATTCAGTAGCTATGATTCAATATGGTTAATTGAGAAGAAAAACAAGAAATATTTCAAAAAGTGCAACCACACTTCGTCATGTTAAGCGATACTCATAGAAACATCCGACAAAGCAAATAGTTCAAAAAAAAATATAATAATGAGCACTATCAGATTGAACGGGAATAGTCAGAACAATCTATCTCGAATGGCCCTAAAACATGATTTGAAAACGAAATCGAACGTTTGTGTAGCATTCTATTTCTGCCAATAGAAGTTTGAATGGAAAAATCAAATCCGGTCGAGATTAACTTGATCACAAACTCGAAAGTTAGGTGAGGATCGTGAAAATCAACACCTTTGCTTTTCTACCGATCATGTGCATAGTATAAAGAAGTACATCAGATTTGCTTGCAGGCACTTCAAGAATGGCGACGAAAAAGTTTAAGTTTAGTTTTTATTTTCATCAGAAAAATTAGCCCTTTGTTCTCAATTACAAGAAGATTCTAAAATTTCAGTAATATTTTTATTTTGTATTATTGTACCAGTATTTCTTATTGGTAAATCACCCTGTGTAAATTCAATACTCCTCGTCTATTTTCACCGTCACCTATTACTGTCCCAACAATCAAGTATTCATTATTACGAAAAAAGCGTAGATATACGTTGGAATTTCTGCTCGGCAAGACGTGCTCGGTTCGAATTAGTGTCATGTTTTCATCGTTCGAATTTGCATATACTATCTGGAATTGATTGTTCTCGTTGATAATTAACCATTGATCTTCTTCAAATGGTATTTGTATCTTATGGTAAATTGGTAACGAATTCAGCGACGTATTAATTCGTTTCATGGAAGCCATGTTGTCGTCGATCTTTCTGAAGTCAATGATCCAGTGAGTGGATTTCAGCCAGACGTTCATCGCTAAATAAGTTCCATCATTGCTACAGGTAATCAGTCGCACTTCATCTTTTTCATTGTATCCCATATCTGTTATTGGCCATTGCCGCAAAACTTGCCACGTATTCATGTTCCATTGCTCAATTGTATGATAAGCATAATTAAGAAATAAATAATGATTTGGAGAAGGTGATATTGTAATGAAACGAAGTCTTTCTTGAGTATGAGTCGCTTGTTGGGTTCTGCGACTAGATGCTTCCAACGCGAAGTTTTTGTCGTGGTAAACTCTAATTTGATTGATATGAGCTAATCGATCCAATTTTACCAGTGACGTCTCCTTGTCCCGTTTTAGTGATAATGTAAATAATCGATAATTGCACAAAATTAAAAATTCATCTAGAAACGAACACCATTGTATGCAACTAATAAACCCTATCCTTTTATCGTTGAACCCTGTAATCATATCCAGTTATCTTTGATTATCAAACAATTTTAGTTCGTTTTGTTCCCGTAGTAAAATAACATTGTATTTGTTGCAAACATCGAAAACTCCAAATCGAATATCATGAGATGATAATAAGATTTGATTTTCGTATGCTGTACACAGAGTTCTTTCTATCGAAATACGACTATCGCTGCTGTTCCTAATAAAGTCTTTTATAACAGAAACAAATAAGATATAAAATATTACACTGATTCCATGTCAAACAAATTCAATAAAAACCTGGCTTTGGTTCCGTTGCGATTGAGCATGCTGCGGTTCGTTGAACTCCATTTTGCAAAGTTTTATAATCTTCCTTGTCGATATCAAACTCCTTATTACGTTGCAGTTCACTTGATGTTGGTCGTAAATCTTTGTCATGAGTGATTAATCGACGAATCAAGGATGAATACTACAAATCAAATTAGAAACATGATATATAAACAAGAAGCATTTCTCTATACCGCAATTTTATTTTCGTTCTTTTCATCAAAATCATCCGGAAGTATCATAGAAGCTTTTCTAGCATTGTCCAAGATCTGAATGCAATCAAATGATAATAACCACTGATTAGAAAGGTAAATATTAAGTAGCTCACTATTTTTCGTTCACACCCAGTAGAGATAGGGTATAGCAACTCGAGCAAGATCAACCCCATTGCATAGATATCAACCTTTTGAGTTGGTTGCTCATCGCGCAGTTGTTCTGGACTGATATATGAAGGCGTTCCATGCTTTGGATTAGTACTACTGTACTTCCATTTTTCATCACCTGTTTGCGAATTTTCAACGCCATCGTCTAGTTCAGACGAATTACATTCGGTTTCATTCATCGCAATCGTTTTCGCCAAACCGAAATCACCAATTTTGACTGTGCCATTAGACAAAGAAAAAAATATGTTTGCTGGCTTCAAATCACGATGAATCTAGTCAAGTTAAATAATTCCTCGAAGCTGTTTTATTTGCATTTCATAAAATATTTCTTACCAGTTTCTGTGCATGTTCATGAATATAGGTCATGCCGTTCACAATTTGATAGAAGATTTCCAATCCGCGAAGACGATCTATGCTGTTTTCGTGACGATATTCTGGTTGTAAACGATCGTGCAAAGTATGATGGTGACATAATTCTGTAACGATATACAAGTTTTCGTTGCTTTGTACCGATGTTTTCTTAGGTGAAGTCACCTCAACGTATGAACTATTAACGGATGATGTATCTTGAGTGATATTGAAAGACCTTTCAGTAGCACTGTTATCATTATTTTCGTTTCGATCACTCCTACTCGTTCTGTCGGTAGTGCTATTCGTGAAAGTTGTGCCACTACTTGTATCATCAAAACGATTATCATCATCCTTGCTAACAGGATTCTTTTTGTCACTGGTGGTCATAGCGCTAAATATTTCTGATAAACTGTTCTGTGTCGAATCTTCATTAAATCCGCTACTTGGAAATTCTGCTGCTTCACCGGCGTCGGAGTGACTACAATCACTGTCCACCCAAGTATTTATATACCTAATGACATTCTCATGTGATAAAGTAACCAGAACACGCACTTCTTTCAAAGCGTCGTCTTTGTTTTCTCTAAATTGTTATTTTTAGAAAACTAAATTATTATTCGGTGAAAACTAACTTACGGTATCAACTTAACACATTTTATTGCACATCGTCTTCGATCATATTTATGCGTCGCTGCAAATACTTGCCCAGAACCACCTCTACCGATTAGTTGTGGATCTTCAAAATCTCGGAATGATCTAAAAAAATCATAGTAGATTAATGAGATTAGTAACGAATTCTAGACTCATTTTACCTGATATGTCTATTGTTTTCACTGGTGGAATTCGTTGACATTTTTTTTTAACAAGTATTAAAATATAATTTCGTTGTCAAGCGAGATTGCTTCTCCAGAATAAACGAGACAAATGTCTAAAATAAATCCAAACTATATTTAAGTATATTTTACAAGTCCCTGTCTGTTTCTATCAAGCGAAGCATACAGAAGGATAAAAACAAATCATGCTTCGCTTGCCATATGGTGAACGAAATTATTTATGAGTGTCGTGAAACATCGAATTCTCTTCATAATAGATATTTCTGACAAATCCTTGAACTACAATTCGTGATTATCGACAAAACGGATTCAGTTCAGAATTTAATTTATTCACTACTGAAGCTGAAATTCCCAATGGAAATGGTATCGAAAAAATTGTATGGTTTGCTTTCAAGTAGACTAGGATTGTAGCATATTACATGAAATATCACTGTTGATTTGATAAAAACTCGTAGTTTAACGTGTTCGGAAAGAGTTAATAACGAAAGTTTCTACAAGAAATGGCAAAAAATTTCAGTTATCAATTTTATAAGAGGAAAATAAGAAAAATCGTTTGTAGCTTAATATGAAATAAAAGTGTGTAAAAAAGAAGAATACGTGTATCTTTTTAATAATTCGATGCGAAGTAAACACACTTTTTTCTGTACTATCCACGTGAGTACTGTGGTGGTGCTTAATCTTACCAAAGAAAATTTTCATCACAATACTTTTTCGAAATTGTAAGTGCTGTGGGTTTTTTCCGGTCGAGATAAGTTACATACAATTTCTACATACACTGGCAGCAGTGTCAACGTAATTCATGTTGTTGATAGCGCTCGTGTATTTACGAATTGTATGTAGCTTATCTCAACCGTATTTTCCCATTTGTGACTTGTACAAATGCAGAAAAAACCTACAGTAAAATGCTTCATTTATCTCATTGGTTGTTACGGAGCCATTAACATTACCTCGATAATCGCGACGATGTTTTACAATAGTTTTTTTGCAAAAACCATGAAAAAATATATAGAGTTTCTCAAACTTATGAGACTCAGCTGATGTCGCTGTATAATAGTTTATGATTTTTAATAATTCTTATTAATTATTTCTTGATATTAAAATGATTTTTTTTGGAAAAGTATCCATACGAATTTCAATCATTTTGAAATATATTTACGCATGGATTATTTTATTGACATCTTTTATTAACAAGTATTGCGTTTGTGTATTAAATATAGAAATCTCAATGTGTACATCAGGTTTATGGTCAAGAAAGCACACAAACAACTGTAAAAAGATGAATCAAATAACGATATTCCGAAAGATAAAGATGCTGCAGCTTTAGTAAACAACTAGCAATGGCAACTAGGGTTTCCTGCATGTGTAACATTACGCACATTTAATGATGAATGGTTTTACAAGGGTCTCAATTTCGAAAAAAATTCGAAAGAAACTGTGAAAAATATCGATAACTTTCTGTCAAAATATGGGCAAACTCTTTGAAAAGCAGCAATCTACAGGGATAAAACTTTCGTACACTATAAATTTTGTTAGGAAATAAAACGTTGTTTAGATTCTAAAGAGAATAATCTACCTGCTCGCTTCCTTTTTCAATCTCTCTCTATCGTACACTATACCATATATGAATTGCTTTTATCTCGTCGCTACTTCATAACAAACGTAACAATACATTTCATTGCAAGCGTTTTGTTTCCATATTAACTAAGCCATAAAAATAAATTGCAGAGGATGTAAGTAAATTTTATTTCTACTCGCTAGAATAAACACATTACTATACCCTACTACATTGTTGTTGTTATTGTGTTTTAGTGAATATCAATGAGACAATATTTTCCCACGATCAAGTTCTGAAGTTTCATGTTTGTGAAAATTGAAACGGCATATACAACCATATCCTAGTAGAATAGTTCATCACTTTGAAACTACTTTCGGTCGAGTTTTAGTAATCATCATAACGGAATAGTTGTAAAATAGAAAATGTTCAAACACGAAGAATCGGTGATTTCGTCGCTAAGATCATCACCTGTGCATTCGTTTAACCTGTGGAAGTATTCACAAATCATAATTGAACGAATAAATGACGCTAATCTATACTATCATAAGAATATTTTTTTCAACACTATACATTTATTCGCTTGTATACAAAATTCACAACAAAACGTTTTTCATTAGCAATGATTCAAAGTTGTTTCTTAAAATATAAACACGAATTCAATCGAACCAGCTGTCCTGTTGCTTGCTATAATCTTCTTCGCGTTCATTCAAGTGAATCATCTCCGAAGAATCTCGGTACATCTTGAAACGCATAAGTTACCTTTGCATGTGATTTCATTTTCCGATACCACAAAACGGCGACAACGAACAGAATAAGCACTGCGGCGATCCCGAAAGCGATGCACAATGTGACTAGATTCACTTTCTCGTCAGGCAGGTCCCATATCACTGATCTTACATGATTCCGTTGGTAGAAGCATGGGTAGCGAAAGCCCATCTGCAACGAAGAACTGGTAAAATTATTTACCGTTCTAATGAAGAGTCATAAATCTATACCTGTACTTGTTTGTGTTGTGAGGATGCATCATAGACTACAAGAGTCGTATAAATGATCGTTTCATTCGATATTCTATACGATACAAAGAACTTTTCGTCAAAACATGTATGAGAATAACATGATTCTTCACAACGTTGGCATTCATGTTCAAAAAATGTATAGTTCAATAGAGAACATGTTGTATTTGTATGAAGATCGCGTATGTGATAAGCTTTTGCGTACGAATAAATAAAAAGAGATCCTAAACTAATACCTCCAAAAAATAAAGGAAGTACGAGAATCACCAAACACCACAAAGCTAGCTCATGTTTGTCGGAACATACAACACGACATGACTTGACCATCTAGAAATTTAAGCGAAGTTAATTAGAAGACATTGACGTTGCAGCAACTAGTTATGTACATATGATCAGTGAAAACAAACAACGACGGAATCGCAAAAATATTTTCACAATATCATGTTACGCTTCAACCGTGACACGCACACACATGGTAGGAACGAAAAAAGCCTATTTACTACTTTATTTCGCTTCGAAAAAATGAAAAAATATTGCGGAACCATAAAAACAAGTGAACAATAAGAATACAAACCTTAAAAAAAGAAAAGCATTTTACATCTAATAATAGAATTAATGTCGAATGCTTCTTCTCTAAAAAAAAACATTCAACCAAACATAAAATAAATCCAAGCAATGTTTCTGTAGGATAGAAAATAATCTTACAATTTTGGTGTATAAATAGATAGAAAAATATCTCAAAACATAAAAACAGTCCATTAGCTTGAAAACAAATTACGCACTTATCTAGTTGATGATTACCTTAGATAGTCGAAAAGCGAAGTGCTCTTAGTCATAATATAGGAAGAGTAAGAGAAAAATAATTCCTAATAATGAAAATTTTAATTATCTTAACTGGAAAAATTCTTCCTGTGCATTTATCACAGAATATATTTTCGGATAGATAATTGATTGAGTTTAATTAGTTCAAGATAAATAGACTTTTTTAAAATTTTTATCAGTGCAATTGCCCTAGATATACTTCGCTATGTTTATTATTCAAATAATTTGCACAAAACGTAAACAAAATATCGCAACCAATTGACTATCAAATATGATGTTGATAAACAATGACACTGTCAGATAACAATAAAACATAATTAACTATGGCGATATTATTGTAATGCAATGGAATGTTTGTTATGAATGTATTTTCATAATCCTTCCTCGAATTTCGAAAAACTATTTCCTATGTTGTCCATGTTGGACGAATATAGTCACGCCAGATGTGTTTCTTTTGGCTATTTGAAAGCGAAGGTGTATCGATTAGATTCTGTGAAAGAATTAAAATTAAAATTAATTCACCACGAGGAGAATACGGAATCATGTACAGTCAAAGAATTTCGTTATGTTGAGAATCTAAACGATGAAGGATTTTTCCAGGTTGGTGTGTTAAGCTAATATGAATAGCAACATCGGTGCCCAAATGATCTTAAGTTCATTAATACGACGAATCAATCAAACGTCTTAGAATGGAGCCTAGAAACTTTGTATAAATTGTCTTTCGTAACATTCGATTTATCTTTGCTCGAATAGGAACGTATTCCTGAAAAGAATGAAAATTTTCATTTTTTTCCTTCTCTCACATCCACTTTCCAAAATAATATATATTTATGATTATAAATATTATTTGTCAATAAATAGATGAACATAAGAAAAATAAAATCATTTGGAACCATTAATTTATATGTTCTGAAAGTAAGTAAGTTCGCCCGAGTTTGGAGTAAGTTGGCATATTTTGTCTTTTCATTTTCTATTCATGCATCAATCCATCGAAACATTTTAGTAAGCTTTGACATACATGAACACTGTTTTGGTATCATACTTTTATCATAAGACAACATACAAAGAAAATTTTGAATATAAGAGATAATAATACAATACCAAAAGAGAGACATAGTAGAAAAGATTTTCCATCCGGACGGTCCCAAATCATTGAAGTTACCTGCTTCGTTTCGTAGAAGCATGGATAGTAAGTACCAATCGATGGAAAAAATATTGTAGAGATATTTAAGCATGATACTCAAATATAAAAATCTGTAACTGTACTTGTTTGTACTGCGTATCTTTGTCATAGCTTGCAAAACTACTGTTAACAAGCATTCCATTGAAAATTAAACATGAAACGTAAAACGTTTCGTCAAAGTACCGGTAAGTGAAGCAGGAATCCCCACTGCAATATCCGCACGTATGTGACGAAGATGTATAGTTCACTGGCAGACAACTGCTACTAGCGTAAAGCTTACGTGCTTCATTCTTGTCAACATAGTTGGAAGCTGATATAGAGCCAACAATGAACAAAAATCCTAAAATAACTGTTCCATAACATTCAACGCATGAATCTATTTTCCTGCATACATCTCTCCATTTATTGCTCATATTTAATCGTGATGTTTGATTATTTGCGAAGACTAATTTATGATACGATCCCGTTCAAAAACAGAAATTTCACAATTGTGTATCACGAATTATACGTTCCAATGCGTCCTAAACAATGATTACTAATCGACAACAGAGCCATGGAAATGGAGTATGTAAACGAAGTTGTCAATGACCAGTTTAAAAAGACAAAAAAGCAACCGGTCGATCCGAATAAACATTTTCAATATTTCAGCAGTAAAGATATTCCTGTGGTTCTCTGCACACTAGGTTTTGGAGTGAGTGTGTCAAGCAGAAAATTTATTACTTATAGGAATTTATTTTCATAAGATCTGCTTATATAAAAAAAATAATGTCTTTGATCTCGATATGAATATTATTTTTCTAGCGTTTCTACTATGAACGTTCGTTTTCTATAATTCATCAAGATTTTTATCGTCGATCTCGTAATCGAAAATCATATGCTCATCTGCTTCCCGTGTAAACACTTTAGTAATCGTCTTGTAGGTAGCTCGTTTGGGTGATGCATATTCAAGCTCGACAAAAGTTCGTTTGATTATTCCAGAGCGTATGTCTACTATCCAAGAAGCATTCCATCGTTTATTGCCTGCTGATCTATTTAAACAAGTACAATTTCGAGCATCAACATATGCTAGATGTTGCTCGTGGTCAATCTTAGTTAGTTCATATTGAACTTCAAAGAAATTTCCGATCATTTTCACAGCCCATCTCTGTCCTTCGTAAAAGACCATATCGGGTATTAGCAAACTTTCCGGAGACGGAAACAACAACCATGCATAGCCAAATGGATGATCCCGTGATCGTACATCACCAGATAATTCCTGTTCTACAAGACGATCGAAGTAAGGACGTTTCAATAGTCGTTCCAACTTAGTCGCATTGTTCGGTTCCATTTTCACATTCAAATTGATGACGTTAATCTGAAGTTTTGTCATGGCAACGATTTTTTCAACACTTTCAATTTCTAATCGTTCGATAATTTGTCTTGATTCTGAATCATACGATTCAATTTCAATCGTATGATAGAACAATCTTTGATTAAGCGCTGGACGAAATCTCAGATCGACTGGTGGTTTCACTCCATTTTGAATAATACCAAAGAGAAAATACCATTGTAATGGGCCATCAACCATCATCGCTATTGCTTGAAGGTTCCAATGACAGAAGAAAGAATCAATATGATGCAGTTGTGTGCATTAAAAATCATAATGCATTTGATTATTTTTCTAAGCGATTGTGAAAGAGAATTGAGTTCGTTTATTTACTTTTTTCTACTAGAGAAAATTGATGGAAGCTCTACGAAAATTCGTGCGGTTTTCGTTGATAAGAAGAGAGTGATAATGTATTTATAATAGAACCATTGCTGTAACATAGTTTAAAATTTCGAATCATCGGTCTTTTTTTATTTCGATTTCTATACACACAAATAGAGAATCTTCTCAGATTTTTAGAATCGTAGTTCAGAAAATGTCATTATATCACAATTTTACTTATATTCAGTTAATTCCAGAATTTTTTTATGACAAAAAAAGACCTTTCTATATCTTGTTGGCGTTAGATAGGCTTCATGAAAAACTCATATACGATCGGGAGGAACATGACTATAATATAATTGGCTACATATCGACCAATCAGATTGAAGCAAGCTACGTCTTGTTTCTTTTCTGATCATAATTATCAATGTGTTTTTAAATACTCATAAATTTATTTCTTATTATCGAGTTTTTTATATTCAGATGTCTGCATCATCGAGTTTTGACTAGAATACATCATTCTATATTTAGATATCGCTTGACGCTGTAAATAAATATGTTCTAGTGATTGTGCAATATTTCATTATAACTAGCGTATCTATAACGCGTATATGTATTTTTCTTATTGATACACTTTGTCTTCCATTGATCTCAAAGAATATTTCTCAATCGAAAATTCCGCTTTTCCTTTTTTCCAGGTCTGAAAACGACGATTTAGTTTTTTTAATGTAGTAAATATAAGCTTCATATTTGACGATTACTTCAGATCAGTTGTCAACGATGGCAGCTGCAGATGGAATGCAAGCATTTGTTGAAACAACAATTCCCAAAACATCTGATGAAATAGATGAACAACAAAGTGATATTATACGGCAATATTTATCAAAAAAGACAGCATGGATTAGTCCAAATGAAGAACAATTTGATGCACTTATTAACTTTCTTAAAAAGCGTCTCGATGAAGGACACGGTGAAACTATTCTTGAAATTGGAACCGAAGGTAATTGTGATGAAAAATATAAATTTTGGTATATTTATTTAATTTTTAGTTACTAGTAGTGAATCACCAGGTTTATTGCGTGAAGAAATGGAAGCATCAATTGCTACACTTAAAAGTATGCAAGCACTACTTGATTGTGAAATTGAATTGTTAAGAGAAAAATCATTGTCGAATAAAACACGCTTTCTAAATGAATATCTTATACGAAAACATATCGACGAAGAAGACTTTATGGAAGTGAGGTACGACAGAAATTTTAGTCTCAAATGATGATATTTTAAGAAAACCGAATGATTGTTAAAGAGTAGCTGTTACTGGTAATGTTGATGCTGGTAAATCGACGTTACTTGGTGTATTAACTCATAGTATATTGGATGATGGTCGTGGTATTGCACGACAAAAATTATTTCGACATAAACATGAAATGGAGACTGGAAGGACATCGTCTGTTGGATGTGTATGTTTCGTGTATAAAGCAAAATTTGCAATAAAAAATAATTTTACATTCATAGGATATTCTTGGTTTTGACACCCATGGTGCTATTATTAATAGACCAGATGTACATGGCAATCAATCGTTGAATTGGACAGAGATTTGTCAGAAATCAGCTAAAGTGAGAATTTTGATATTAATGATTTTTCTAAAGAAAAGTAATTTTCTTCAGGTACTGACTTTTATTGATTTAGCTGGACATGGTAAGACCGTGTTTTATTATGTGATAGAAAAAAAAACATATATTTTATAGAAAAATATCTAAAAACAACTGTATTTGGTATGACAGGATATGCTCCTGATTATGCGATGTTAATGGTGAGACAGAAAAAACCCTATTGTATAGAAGATATTTTGGTTTTATTCAGATTGGTGCTAATGCCGGTGTAATTGGCATGACGAAAGAACATCTTGTAAGTTATTTTTATTTTCTTATGGAATTATTTTTTTTAACTGATTGTATGAAATAAATCCTGGAAAAAATATTGCATAGAATTATTCTCGTAAGGCTTTTAGTTCAATGAGAGTTGGGATTTGTTTTTCATTTAAGAACTCAACAATTTGATACACCTATTTTTGTTTGAAGGGCTTAGCACTTGCTCTTGGTGTTCCTGTTTTTGTTATTGTTACTAAAGTTGATATGGCTCCTGCGAATGTTCTGCAGGAAACCATGAAACTTCTACAGAAAATACTTCGTTCATCGGGCTGTCGAAAAATTCCATTATTAGTACAAAATAATGATGATGTAATCACATGTGCAACGAATTTCACATCGGAACGTTTATGTCCGATATTTCAAATATCGAATGTAACAGGAGAAAATTTAGATTTATTAAAAAAATTTCTTAATCTATTATCAACACGAATGGAAACATGTCAAGATGAACCAGCTGAATTCCAAATAGATGATTTATATGTCGTATCTGGAGTAGGCGCAGTTGTTAGTGGTACAACATTAAAAGGCATCATTAAAATTGGTGATAATCTACAATTAGGACCTGATCCATTAGGACAATTTAAAACCGTTCAAATCCGAGGTATGATAAATAGTAGAATTTATTATTATTTTTATTTTTATTATCAGGTATTCATCGTAAACGAATGCCAGTTGACAAATGTCGAGGTGGTCAAACAGCATCATTCGCTTTGAGAAAAGTATAGACAAAAAAAGAAACTATTCATCGAAATGATCAATTTTTTTTTGAATTTATATTCAGATAAAAAAATCCGAACTTCGTAAGGGTATGGTTCTTTTATCTCTAGCCATACCACCTGTTTCCTATTGGGAATTCGAAGCTGATTTGCTTATTCTGCATCATCCAACAACCATTGGTGTTAAATATCAAGCAGTGGGTAAATAAAAATTTGATCTTGAAATAAAATCGTAATAAATCTTCTTCTTTCAGTTCATTGCGGTAGTATTCGTCAAACAGCAACAATTGTTTCGCTGCCTGTTGAGAACTTACGAACAGGTGATCGTGCCAATGTTATATTTCGTTTTGTAAAATCACCTGAATATCTTCGTCTGGGTATGAAACTCATCTTTCGCGAGGGACGCACAAAAGCTATTGGTAGTATATCGAAACTTACTCCATATGTTGCTGCTCAAACAACTGGAAATCGAATAAAAACAAAACTACACACAACAGTAGATCAATAACAATCGATGGCTACTCTTCGACTGAACAAAGTTCCACTATAACAAAAACGAAATACATCTTGATGAATAGGCATTTACTTCCTATGATTATAGACAAAATACAATAGTGAAATTATTTTTATTTTGGGCTTAGTTTGTTTTTACTTTTTATAAAATGAGTTCTCTTTGTTTTAAAATAACTGGTGATTGTTTATATGTAACGGATGCTTCAATTTTTATTTCAATAGAACAAATATAGTGTTAATTTTTTAATAGAAACAGAAAACAAGTTCATTTGTAGATTTCTATTTCAGATGGCACATGAACATTGTGATACGTGTTTTCTAATCAATTGTTTTCATACATCTTCTTGCCCATTGATCTATTGTCCGAATGGATGTTTTGCTCGTATGCATGAATGCAAACGTGACGATCATGAGTATATTTGTCCGAATGCTTTAATTCCTTGTATAAATGTTAATTACGGTTGTCCATCGACGATACGACGTCATGATATTTCTCGGCATTTACATATATGTGCTGCATCCGTAACAGTTTGTTCGTTTATTAATAATCATGAATATCCTACTAATCCTTTGGAAAATTCAACGGATAATGGTCTGATTGAAATGATAGCTCGCCGTGACAATATTTGGGATGAACATGTGAAAGATTTCAAAAAAAAAGAAAATAAAATCTATGGACTTTTAAGAAGTAATGTATCGAAAAATCGTCAAGTGGAAAATATTGTTCGCAGTGAAAAATATCGATATATAACAATGCCGAAATGTGTGTTAGATAGAGGAGATGGGATTTTATGTAGCACATGTAGAAAACATCTTAGACAATTGGAAGAAAATGAAGATCAACGTTTATCAGAACTTACCGAAGGTAATTTTCATGATCTATAAAGAAAATTTCTATAGTTAGTTAGCACTCTATACGGATATTCTTCTTGCTTCATTCTCTCGGATTCTGAAAATAGTGGAAAAAATGACAAAATCTTTAAATAGAACTTTGACTTTTGACCATAGTAGAAAGTTACATGTGTTTAAAAAATAAGCAATACATTAATAAAACTTTTATCATTTAAGAGGAACGACAACACATGACTCAATTTGATTTACACAATGAGAACAATTTTGATCCCACAACAATACCATCTTTAGTTAAAACGTCTTCTACGTTAATTAATGCATCTGATATGTCAAAGCTTTCGTCGTCTTCTTACGATTCTCCGGTGGTGTCAATGACAGAGACTACGCAAGATGATCCAATGCCTATTATATCTGATATCGAATTACCTTCGTCACATATTTATCGATTGAATTATTTTGCTTCAAATAATCGTCCAACCAATCCTGAGTCATTTAATAAATCACCTCGATTTTTTTGTCATGCTCTATGTCGTCGAGATGAAATTGACAAACATTGGCTTATACACTCTGATATTGATTGTACTCTCAATACGTATCTTATTCAAAAATGTCCAAAATCTCAATATGGTTGTACATTTCAATATGAACGTCTTGAGCCATGCCAAATGAATGGCCAATCAATACGAATTCGCTTCGATCAGATCAATGATGCAATTGCTTTTGACTGGTATCCAGAAATAGTCAATGACGGAAGTGAACGATTAGATATGAGTACTTTACCATCCGAAATACTTATGAATATTCTTCAGCGATTGGATAGTCTATCATTAAGGAATATTTCACTTGTGTGCCGTGTAAGCAAGATTTTTGTTTTTATGTTTAAAACTAATTTGTAATTTTAGCGTTTGCGTGCCATATGTCAAGATCTATTACCTTCACGAGGAATTGTCGTTAAGGAATATGAACGTAATCCACTTTCGCATGGAGATGTAACTTGGATTGAACGACAAAAAGTAATTATATATATTAGTATAGATGATTAATCGAGTGGTTCATAAATGATGATGCTATTGATATTTCAACAAGTATAAACTTTTGAAAGTTCTTGAAGCAAATTAAAATTAAAATGAGCATATCTTTTGAAATAAAAAATTTCGATACATGTTTTTTTCTGACTTTGAAAAAAATGAATTTTTTTGGAAATCTGTTTTAGCATTGGTTATTTACAAACACTGCATCAGCAGTTCCGAAATGGCAATTAAGAAAGCCCAATAAATTGACGTCATTGACTCAACATTTAATAGCATGTCCATACGGCGAAACGAAAGATCTTCAAAACGAACCACGATTTCTTCTACATGCTTGGGGTACTAGTGAGCTTGCATCGAAAACTGCCGAATAAAAAATCAAATATTGCTTTTGCGACGAATTGTATTAGGAAAAATGATCAAGATAGTATAGTTAAATTTTGCCTTACTAGTGAAAAATCTTTGTCCTCTCTATCCGTTCGCGTAATTATTCTTGCAAGAAAACATGCAAACTTTTTCTATTTTTTTTTGTATTTGTTTTCTTTGATACTAATGTACGCTTTTGTTTTACCCTTTGTTTATATTTTTTCTATAAATTATTGAATTTATATATTAATTTTATAGATCATGATTACTTCACGTTTACTGTTGAGAGAAATATCTCGATCGAAATCTACTCGTTTTCTATCATCGCTAACCTCATTTGAACCTAAGCCAGAGCAAAGAACTCGAGAACTCATTGATAAAATCATACGTGTTGATCAAGCTGGAGAATTAGCTGCGGATCGAATTTATGCTGGTCAGATGGCAGTTTTGGGCCGTACAGATGTTGGACCAACCATTCAAGTATATTAATTATTAAAGCACAAAAAACAGGATTCTAATTTTTGTAAATATGATGTGTAGCACATGTGGGATGAAGAAAAAGCACATCTAGCGAAATTTAATGAATTGATACCAAAGTACAAAGCTCGACCATCAATATTATTACCATTATGGAATGTCGCTGGTTTTGCACTAGGTAAAACGAAATATAATATTTCTTTGGTTATGTTTGCTAATGAAAAAGTTGCATTTTTCTATTTTCAGGTGCTGGAACAGCTTTACTAGGAAAAGAAGCAGCTATGGCATGTACTGTTGCTGTTGAAGCCGTGATTGGAGAACATTATAATAAGTGAAAACATTTTTATTTTAAGTAAATTTTTTTTTTTGAAAGTTTTTAATTTCTAGTCAATTACGTGATTTGATGGAACATGCGGATCAAACTAAAGATAAAGATTTGATAGAAGTAAGAAACAAAAAAATATAGGATCAATATCTTTGATATTGGTTTTTCCTTTTAGACAATAAAAAAATTTCGTGATGATGAAAATCAACATCATGATACTGGTTTAGCTAATAATGCTGAACAAGTGAGAAGACTATTTTCTTTTATTTCGTTTGTTTTATTAGTTTCGCATTTTGAAGGCTCCTTTCTATCAAGGCTTAACCAGTGCGATCAAAATGGGATGTCGGTTGGGTATCTATGTAGCTGAGCGTATTTAAATTTATAGAAAAACAAATATATGTGTATCCTTTATTAAATTAAAAGTCTAAACAAAATTCTTTTGTTTCGTTATTTTTTTTTCGTTTTGGGACGCATTTAATTGGAAGCATTAAGTGTATATCGATGGATGGGCGGCATCGGTTCGTACATATTCATTGTTGTGTAGGAAGGCATTGGTTGCTTTTGCTGCATATGATTAGGCCATTGAAACGCAGAACGTTGTTCGCTGCTGCCAACATGTCGTTGCCCGCCGTTAAATTTATCGCTATCCGTAACGAGCTCATGAAAGTATTGACTACGCGTCATGCGTTCTTTTTTGATTTGTGTCGGCGACGGCATGTTCGGTTGAGAGGATAGATGTGGTGGAACTAGTTCTTGTATGGGTACATATGAACGATAATTTGGAAAACGTTCATGATATTCTGTATCTTTTGTAAACGATGGAGATGGATCGAATCGAGGTGAAACTCTTGAATTAATTGGCATTGGAACAAAGTCAAATACATGACTTGGTTGAGCATGAAAAACAAACGGACGCTTTGGTTGATGATTAGGATAGCGTAGACGATATTCCGATGCGCTTAATGTTGAGTTCGGATCAACATCAGCTGAGAGAAACGAGCGACTACGTGATGGTGATCGAGTTGTCCCTATTTTTGGTAGCAGTACATGCGAAATATAGTCTTCCCGACGTGGTGACATATAACGTGTATTATATTCCGTTGCCGAACCTTAGAAATTAGACTAGATTTTTCGATTTGTAGCTTAGTATTCTTACTAGTTGGTTGATTAGGATCTGTAGCAAGTATATGTTCCATGTATAAAGGCATTGTTGTTGTTGTTTGCTTGCGTTTCTCTTCACCTCCTCACTTATTTTCTAATGGAATTCAATTCTGTGTTTTTTTTCATATTTTTTTATTACGTTTTACTCAATTTAAAAAAAAATCATCGGCACAGGAAAGAAGAGAAGTGAAAAAATTCAAAACGAGACATAAATATATATATATATATATATGTATGCTTGAAAAAATTGTTTTTTTTCTTAACAATGAAGCGGTCGCTACCACTTATTGTTTTGAGTCTTTTTCAGTAATCATAACGGGTAATAAGACACAAGCAAGCTCACGTCCTTTACCATCGATTAAATAGTATCGCATTTGATTCACTTTAACCTATTCAAAAAAAAAGAAATATATATATAGATATAGATATGCATTGAATTGATGTTAATGGATGTTTGGAGAAATAAAACTAGTGTTTATCACATACCGATGGATATGTTTGACTAACAAACATGCTATTGTGATATGAATAAACCACATCAGCTTGAATTGGACATCCGAGTTGTTGGCAAACATCGTGATTTGGTAGAGCAAAATCATGATCAACTGTACCGATGGTTGCCACTACTTTAGCCCGTATTTTATGAGCTTTCTTTCCTATTAAGAAGAAAAATATTAATATATAAGTGTTACTTTTCTTTGTAATATGTTAAAGTTTCTTACGTAATTTAAATGAAAATTCAAGACGAGCATCAGCACCCTTGTAAAATGTGCAATATTCGTTGGTACATGGAGTATTGACCGAAACTTTAAGAATCTCACCAGTACTTCTTGCTAGAGTAAAACATTGCTAATGAGAATAGACTAAATAATTTGAAATAAATGCATACGTGAACATTGTTTGAATGGATGTTGTAATTGACCGGCACATGCATTTAAAATAAGTATTAAAACAAGAAAAGCAAAAACTTGATTGAAAAGCATGCTTTGCTTTTTCGTTAGAAGTATCTTTCTTATGTAAACTAATCCGACTGAGTACCAACATCGTTAGATGCTTCGTGTATTTATACATTCTCAACATATCTTATCTCATGTGAAGCTTGTACTTCTCAATTACATTTTGTTTTCTTGATTCGTTTTTTTCTGCCCATCAAATGTCACTATCGCAGTACAGGATGCCTTCGTAAAGAAAAATGATATATGTATTACTAATCTATTTATCTTTTTAGATCTATCTGTTTTGATTAGAAGCACAGAAACACATCAAACAATAATTTTATTACATGTCATAGATAACGAAAACTAATGATTTTCGCTTGTGGAACAAAATAAAAGATGTTAAACATATCAAGATAAATGTACTGAATAGTTTTGTTTTAGATGAATGATGCAGACGACGTGCCTTTAGGTCATACAAAAAAATATAATATACCGTTGAGCCATTTAGAATATGTATACATAGAACAATGTAAAGATGAAATCGAACTTGAACAAATATACAAAGAACTAATGTAACAATAAATGTCTGCTTATTTTTCTTTTCATGCTGAATTTATTTATCTTTCAAAAAACGTAGAAGTGGAGAAGTAGGCTCACATCGAATTCTAGAACAACTAACACTTGACCGAATCCGAAATATTCAATCGCTTAAGTAGTTTTATTCAAGCGAAGAACATAAAGCAATATATTGAATCAATCTAACGATTTGTTTGTCTTCATATAGTTCGACATCAGCCAATCAGAAATCGCAAGAAACCAATGAAGAAACTACTTCTAACTTAACTGTCGCCAATGATCATCCGACTAATGTTATTCATTCTGTTTCTAATTCTTCAAATGAGAATGATGTATGTTTTAATTCATTGAAAAACTTCCCTAGAAACTATACATTATGTATTCATTTCTACCAGACCAACTTTATTGTTTCGCAACCGATCATTGATAATGATTCTAAACAAACAGCGCCAGATTATGATGAAGAATGGAAAAAGTAAACACAAATGAATCCCTAGAAAATGAATGATTTTTCGATTACTCTAGATTTGAACGAAAGGCTTCGAACAGCTTTGATGACGACTCGAAAGATAGTGATAGTGGTGAACCATCAGGTAACTTTATATGTTACTTGAAATTTTTATTCTCTCGGCTTTTCTGTAAAGCAGACAGCGAGTCTTATCAAAACAGGAAACGTCTTCATACGGCTGAACAGCAGCGTCTCAATGGAGATACTGCATTCAAAGCAAAGAATTATCAACAAGCAGTTGATTCATATACAAAAAGCATCACGATTAATAAGAGTTCACTCACTTATATGAATCGAGCTACAGCCTGTATGGAAGAATTCTTTTCGTTTGGTCATGACATTTTTCATTTCGCATTTTAGATTTTAAGTTGAATGATCATGATGCATGTATTCAAGATTGTTCTCAAGTGTTAAAAACCAATCCGACATTTATTCAAGGTTAATAAGAATGAAATGATGAATACTGTTTTTGTTTTACACAATGAATTATTTCATTTTCTTAAGCTTTATTTCGTCGAGCTTCGTGTTATTTTGTTAAAAACCAATATGATAAAGCCAAACTTGATCTTAACTCTGTTCTTGCTATTGATCCTGATAATGACGAAGCTCAAGTAAAATTTCTAGTTAATTTTAAACGAGTTCGATAAAACAAAAGCAATAATAGCGAGAGAAAAAATATCTTCGATGAGCAATAATAGATCAGGGAAGAATAATGTCATTCTTTGTTTTAGATTGTAATTCAAAGATTTTATTTTCATAGAAATTACTCGGTTTGTGTTTTATTTTAAATTCTCTATTTCTAGAATTTATTGAATAACGTTTTAACTGTTCATAAACAGAATAGTAATCCAAATACCGGTGGTGATTCTGACGATATGGAAGATCAATCGTCCAGTGTAAATTATTTTCGGTTTTTTTATTGTATCCTAATTTTTCTAAAAAAATTTGACTAGGCTACCGCATTTTTACCCGTTCCATCATCTATTATTGTTGACGGCGAGCAACAGCAAGTAACCACGAACATGACTCCTTCTATGAACATCGAGATATCCGACAGACATAAGAGTCCTTCGCCAACATATGATCATCTAACTACGAATCAATATCCAATATCATCATCGCATTACGATGACGATGATATGGCATTAGGTGATGAAGCAGGTGGTGGTTTAGCAGAAAATCCAAGTGACGAAGAAGGACATGTTTCACGTAGTATAAATGTTTCACCAACTGTTGACGATGATTCCGATATGCAAGGATTTATCGATCCAAAACCATTAGAAACGCCGCCGATGGGCGAAATTTCGTACAACAGTAGAATACATCATAATATTGATTTTGGAACAAGTGGAAATAAATATTCAACTGTGCATTATCGGAAAACAAACGAGAATTCTTATGATTCGTATCATTCTCCTGTCAATAATAGCATATCAAATGTGCGAAATAATTCGTCCTATAAATATGATACAGTTAGTACATAAACAAGCGAAAAGTTTTGTTGAATCTCTTCAAATAGTCTAGCCTTACTTAACCTCTTAGTGAAGGTTAAATTTTTTTTCTAAAAGCAAAATAGAAGCGATCTAAGAAAAGATGCGTGCGAGTACCGTTTTTCACTAGAAATTATTACTATTATGAAGAAGTGATTTGTAAATGTCTTTTGATGAAAAGAAAATAATCATTTAAAATCAGTTAAAGCGCATTATACAAAACAAATTTAAAAGAAAATCCTTTTGTTTGCCTAGAATTCATTCAACAGTCGTAATGATACATATATGCAAAGTACAACAATCAATGAAGCTATTTTAAATTCAAATTTTGGTCCTACCATACAAAGTTGGCTACAGGATTTTGTTAAAACAGAGCCATCTTATCGTTTATCGTCAATGTATGATCGAATATGGTCAAAATCGCCGATACCATGGTCACTGAATAAAATTCAGGGTGATATTGAAAAATTTCATGCGTCACGTAATTACAAAAACGCTATTGAAATATCAAAAAAATTACTTCATAATGGTGCTCTAGGTAGAATTTCTCATAATTTCAATTTTGCCTATTTTTCATCGTTTATTTATTATAGATTATCATTTTCATGCAGAATCTATTGTTAATACGCTGACTAGCTGTGCTCAATGTTATTTGAAATTGAATGAATATGTACGTGCAATTCAGTATACTACTGAAGCTTTACAATACAATAAAAATGATGATGATACATTGTTTTGTCGTGCTGAAGCATTTGAGAACGAAAAACTGTAAGTTTAGTGGAAATATTGAAAGTCAATTCTGCCATAGTTGCTTTGCGATTTTAGTCTTCTCTTTAGCTATGCTGATTATGTACGCGTGCCATATCATAGTTTTAATTATCATGTAGCACAACGTTCATGTGAAAGGTAAGTTTCTCTCTTAGAATTTATCGAAATGGTTAGAAAAGAATATTTGTTTTTCGGAAAATCTAATCATCACTAAAATAAATTATGCAATTTTCTTTATGCGAGAAAACGCAAATATTGTCGAACACTAGTAATTTACATATTAAAATAAAAATAAACGGATCCTTTCGTTGTTCATTCCATTGGAATATTTGTTAAACTTAGACTGGTAGTAAATCGATCAGGAGCGTCTTTCTCATGCATATCATCAAATGTAATACTACAGTGAATAGTTTCACAATGTTGAATTTCATATTTCCATTTTGCATAAATAATTTGACGTTGTTTATTATTTAATTGTTCAATTAACTTGTCTGGTCGAGATTTAAACGGCACAGAACCCATTCACATATATTTAGACTAGAGATCGAATTCAATGCTAATGGTGATGAAACATGGCGGGAAAAATTGCCAAGCAATCAGAATGATGACGAACAGTATTTAACTTATCTAAAACTAAAAACTGAATATTCAGAAACTAATGCATATGAATGGTATCGAACATATGCTGACCAACATTATGGTGATGGTTGTTTTATTCTGGCGATTAAATTTTATACAAAATGTATTGAACTTCAGCCTGATAAGACAGATGTTTATTTGAAACGAGCCGCATGCTATTTAAATGTTTTTGAAGTATGCTAAATGCTTATTTACAATTAAGAAAAACAAACATATTTCTATTTTAGCCACAAAAAACAATTGAAGATTGTGATATGGTGCTGAAAGGCGATAAAGACAATTTCGATGCTTTATATCGGAAAGCATCTGCACACAAAAAGTCTCGTGACTATAGTTCACATGAATCAACATTGAGGGAATGTATTAGAATTCAGCCAACGAATCAAATTGTTCTGACCGAATATTATAGCAGTCAACATGAAAAAGTTCCACGAAAGAAACGACGCATTCGAACGAATCCGATACCGTCGACCTCAATCAATAGGGATATTCTTTCATATGAAGAACTTGAACAAATACGTTTAGCTACTATGCTTTCGAATTTATCGTTGAATTCGAATGATATTAAAGATCAATGTTCATTTATACTTCATGCTCCGAAGAAAATTTTCTTTGAATCTTATGATTTTGCATCAACACATTTCATTGAAACAATCATTAACTTGTGTCGAACAATGCTTCGAGCTGAAGTGCATTATCAAGAAGCACATAAATCAGTCATATTACCGTTTTCTTATACAAAATTTTGGTTTGATATTTTTGTTGAATTAGCAAAAGTCCCTCAAGTCAATACAGCTCTATGTATGATTGATGAAAAGTATCGAACGATACTTGACGATTTACTTTCATATTATGAATCGCTATCAATATATAACGTTCTTGAACATTTGAATTCGTTGAGAAATTTGTGAACTTAATTTATTTTTTTCCTTTTTTATACACATTAAAATAAAATCTATTTTTAAACAAGAAAAAGAAAACTTTCATTTAAATGCCAATTCAGACGTAACTAGTTTTATTTTCATAGTATAGAAAATTTTCTACATGATATTACAACTAACATCAATAACAGGTGTTTTTATCGACATTTTGGGACCAATACCAACTCCGAAACCTAAAAACGATGCATTTACACCATCAAGTCCAACATTCGCACCGGTATTTAAATTCAGACCGACGCCAACTCCAAGAGGTCCTGCATGTGCTTCTGCTCGTACTAAAGACGCATTTGCACCAATAGAATAATTTGAACCAGCTTCGACATGAGCAGATGCGGATAAGAATGAAGCACTAGCTCCAAATATACTAGCACTGGCATGTGCTTCAGCAACACTAGCACTTGCATACGCACCAACTCTTGCAGTTCTCTGTTTTTTATATGTACCTGCATAGGCCTTTAACACGCCCGCATTAGCAGAAGGTTGTCTATCGATGTCTTCAATTACATCCAGAATAGCACCAACTGTTACATGACATCCCGGTTTCGGTATAACTTGCTGTTTGAAATTTTTCAGAATTTCTTGACGTGCTTCAGCTCTTGTTTTCGGTATATTATGTTCACTTTCGTCCACATCGCGATATTTAACTAGAATTCGACGTTTTGACATAGTTACTAATTTTTTAGTTTTAACATTTTCTGGATGAGCCCAGTTTTTTGGATTTCGATTTCCTTCCTCGTCGTTGTGGAATCGAATATCATGATCTTCTAACTGTTCTTCACATTTAACACATGCAGACTTGCTAATACCTAATCTGGTTATTTCTTCACCATGTTCGGTGGCATAGGACAATAATTGCATTTCCGCATGATCTCTTGCATTGATGTCGGGTGTTGATTGTTGATTTTCATCTAGACTTTGTTGTATAACTGTGACTTTAAATTGATTATTTGTATTCAATTCAGTTTCCAATGCATGTTGAATCGGTTCAATCAATTTTTCACTTAAGCCCAATTCACCATACTCAATGCGATCATTTCTCAATGATCCTGTTGTTACAAATCGATAACGTTCTTTAACATTAGCGGCCACGTATATTTCTTGATTTGCTGTGTAACCAACCGCAACACAATCATAATTCTTTTCATGACCAGTACCAGGATGATTATTTATTTTTGATATATTATCGAGTATCTTCCTTGCGATTGCGTTTAAATCAGCTCTACTTGGATGTGGCATAATGATTGGATTATGTAAACCTGTATTATCATATTTCACTAAATAAATATAATGGTTGTTACGTATTTCATCTTCAGTGTCACTGGAATCTTCATCGCTATACATTATACCTGAAAAAATTTTTTAGATCATTAAGGATATATTTAAAATACTGCCATGATTTAATTCGATTCAAAAGATTTTTGTCAAGTTATTAAAAAATAGATCACTTTCACTTCAGAATTCAAAATCTGTTTATTTACCAGCAATCGATTGTCTCGTATAAATTATTGGCTAATATCAATCAGACGAGAGATCTACAACAAGAAGGAACGCAGATAAGAAAGCAAAAATCATAACAAAAATACATAGATAAGATAAAATCGTATTACGAGAAACACAGTTTCGTGAAAAATCATAGAATCACTCGTTTCATTTTCCAACAACTTAGACTGCTTAATAAAGCGAAATATTGCTGCTGGTGTACACATTCGAGTATGCTCTATTCAATTATCATATCAGGCTCCTGAATTTTAACGTTGAGTGCGAGAGAACTAAGGTTTATTGAAATCTCTTCGTCCTTTGTATTTTTGCGATATCTCTTTTTAAAGTTTTCGTGATCGAAACTTTCTAAATGAGTTTCACTATTGATACAGATCACTTTCAATCACAAGTAAAAACTGATCGATTTCAATAAACCTTAGCTTTCTTACACTCAACGATAGAATTCAGGAGCCTGATATGATAATTGAATAGAGCATACTCGAATACGTACACTAGCACATGGCTCGCTTTACTAAGCAGCCAAAGTTAGTCGAAAATGAATTAACAACTAAAATGAAACAAGCGATTCTATCATTTTTCACTTTATAGAAAAGAAAAATATCTTGGAAATGAAAGAGAACGAACAAGCATTATCCCATGAAAAGAAAAACAACGAAAGAACCTATTAAGGAAAATATTTAACAGAACGAAAGAAAGAAAATACATAACTAAATATCGAACCAAGTGTGTATGTATGAGACAAGAGAAAGAAAGAAAATATGGAAAATACAAATGTCCAGGAGAGAGAGTATTAAGAAATGAATAGTATTTTTTTATTAACAATGAAAAGTTCTTACATGTTTTTCGAATACAAATTGAATTTTTAGATGAGTTAGTATTTTGCAGCATATTTCTTCTATTCAAGTAGCAAATATAGTAAATAATATTATTTTGGCAACTTTTTTACTTGTTTTCATTGCTCTTTCTGGAATATCTGTTTTTATTATGTGAAATTCATCTTTTATAATTGTTTCCTTTGAATATATTCGATAAATGTGTATGATGAGCGTCGTTTTCATTGTAATGTGTTATGATCATTAACTAAATATCTAAGTTTTAGTAGTAATTGAGATTAAACACGAAGATTCCTAAGCAATCAGTTTTAGAGATATGTCACTGAAAATTGTTCAAAATAGAAAATGTTTTTATGCTTTATTTATATCAGTAAAATTAAAATTAAGAAAACAACACACAGAATTCGGAAGCATTTTTACATAGAATTGACTTCTTTTTTCAACTTGCCATGTCGAAGTTAGTACAATCTGCAGCGAAAATACGTGTAGATCCGTTCTTGAGCAATATTTTGAAAAACTGAAAGCATGCTTGTATCTAGATAAGCGTTTGTTTTGCATGTTTTGGTAGCGAAAAATTTTCCATCCGATGAAAAATTAAAAAAGGGTCTAGAAGAAAAATGTCAAACTATCCAAAAGTATAATTGACTTACGGCCACCCGACTCAATCTATATCGGCTGTCGACTATGAGAAAAACGAATGATAATAAAAATCAAGCAAGATTCAGTCGGCATAGGTTTTGTTCGAAAGTTAACTTTTGTTTTCTTTTAAATCGATGGGTTAATCTCGATTTTTGTTGTTTCAACATCACCTAATGTAACGATAATATTTTCATCTACATTCGAGCTACAAAATGAAAGAATTTATTTTTAATAAGAAACTATTTCAAATATCAAAACTTACGTAGCAACACTTCGTTGTTCATTTGTCTTTGATAATCAAGATTTGAACCATATGAAACAGAAAGTGTGGCATAATGAACGGTTGCTGAAATTTACAGTGGGTCATATAGTTGCATAATATTTAAGATACTAATCGCAATCTTTTAGTGAAACAATATGCGTATCAATAAATGTTCCTAAAAATTATCAAAAATATAAAAAGCATGAATAATGTTCTTTGTTTGATTTGAATTTTTATTCAAAACAAAAAATCAACTATTATGACGTTTCTTTTAACAACAATAAAATAAATTTGATTGAATCGATTATGATTATATAATTCTAAAGAAAATTTAATATGAATAACTACTTTTTTATAGGATCCATCATCGAGACCAGCTTGATAGAAAACAAGTCTATTTGATACATGTGAGTTTACATTAAATATAAAATTAAATTTTTTATTTCTCAACTTATCCTTAGAATATACCCAGGAGAATCGCGGTCCGTCGGATCTTGTCGGACGGCTTTTAAATCCGTTCATACCCGGTCATCGGATCCGGTCGGGACGTTTCCGCCAGAATCCGATCATATTCGCCAT